CAGGAACAAGGACTTCCAGGAGGTGACCCTGGAGAGGGATGGACAGGTCCTGCTGCACTTTGCCCTGGCCTATGGATTCAGGAACATCCAGAACCTGGTGCAGAAGCTGAAGAGAGGGAAGTGCCCCTATCACTTCGTGGAGGTCATGGCCTGTCCCTCAGGTGAGGCTGCTCTCACCTCCAGCCTGGGGGGAGCTCCAGGGCATTCCAGGCAGGAGGAATGGGAGATTTCTCACCCCCGTGGGCTGTGACAGCCACAGCATCACAGCTGTGTGGGGATCTCCCTGCCTGTGAGCCAGAAATTCCTCAGGATTTAAAGAATTGCACCTGAATTCCATCACACAGCATTTGCACCATTAATTAATTCATTGCTTTTAAGGGGGATTTCCTGAGCTCTGGTGCCTGAGGGGATTTTCTCCCTGAAATTGCCCAAGCCTGACCATCACATTCAGAAAATGCTGCTGTGGCTGGTGGAGAAATGTTTAATATTTGATTCCATTTTCCTGTTGCTGGCTCCCTTGGGAGCAGGGGCAGCCTGAGCCCACTGAGGGGCCCCTCTGCCCCCTGGAGCTGCTCCTTCCCAGGGACCCACACAGCTCCGGGAGCCTCCCAGCTCCCAGAACTCATCCCAGGCACTTTTCCCTTTCCTGCAGCTGAGCCTCAGGGCTGGGCTCACCTGGGCTGGGCTCAGGCTCCCTCCTGGGGCAGGAGATAAGAGCTGGCAGAGCCCCAGCTGGAGCCAGCCCAGCATCTCCCTGCCCTGTGGCCCTGCTGCTGCCAGATAACTGGGGCTCAACCTCCACCCCTGAGCTGTTGTCATTCCTGCAGCTGTTTGCAGGAGCAGGATGAACGACCTGGAATTTCTGAGGATGTTTTCCCAGCTGAAATTCTTCATGCCTTTTTTTTTTTTTTTTTTTCCCAGGCTGTTTGAATGGAGGAGGGCAGATCAAACTGGAGGGAGAATCCAGCAAGGAGGAGCTGCAGCAGGTGGAGAGGTTGTATGAGTCCCTGAGGGCTGAGATTCCAGAGGAGAACCAGGCTGTGAGGGAGCTCTACGAGCACTGGCTGGGGGGCTGGGGCTCAGAGAGGGCTCTGCAGGTGCTGCACACTCAGTACCACGCCGTGGAGAGAGCCAGCTCTGCCCTCAGCATCAAGTGGTGAGGGCTGCCCGGCCCAGGAGACCCTCAGTGCCTTCTGAACTCACTCTGCACATCCTCCAGGGACTCTGTGCAGCTCCTGCCTCTGGACAGTGCCTGGCACTGCTCACTCCTGCAGCTGGAGGATGAGCTGATGGCAATAACCCCACAGTGTGACAGGGACACAGCAGAAGGCAGAATGGGACAGCCCCTGCCCTGCTCCCCCAGCCCCAGCCCTGCCAGAACTGAGGAGCTCAAGGATTCAGAGTCAGCTCCAGGCTGAGCTTTGTGCCACAGCCCAATATTCCCCTCCCAGGCCTGGCTGGATTGTCACAGCACTCAGTTGTGTGCCTGCCTGTGCTGGAACAGCCTCATTCCATTAGAAATGGTCTCATTCCAGACTGGAGTTCTCCCTCTCACTGCCCTGCAGGCTCTGTGCCCTCAGAGGGGGGATCCAAAGCCTGGGAGGGACTGCAGTGAATGCTGGACAAAACCCCTGGGATTCCTTTTCCTTAAATTATAATAATTTATACCAAGGGCAATTCCTTCTCTGTGTTTTCTTCTTAAACACTCAGCAGGGAGTCAGAGAATCGTCACACTTACCCACCCTCAGCAGCCACTTTCTGAGGGAAAATATCCCTAAATCCAGCCAAAACAGGCACTTACTGCTGGATAACATCCTGAAATTCCCACAGAATAATTCCTGACCTTGGGGCTGGCAGGAACCAAACCCTCCTCTGCACTTTGTTCCAATGAATCCACAGAGCAAATGCTGAATTGTCATGGTTTTAATTAAAAGCTTTCCATTTTTCAGCTGTTGCTGATCATGCATGACCTCCCAGTGTTCTAAGGCATCAGCCTGCCCCTGCTGCCCCCTCCCCTCCCTCCTGAGGAGCAGACTGGTGCTTCCAGTGAATTCCCTGTGCCTTGCAGGGCTTTGGCTGAAGCAGGAGAGGGCCAGGGAGGGGCTCCAGGCTGGCACAGGCACAGCAGCCCAGGGATGCACAGCCAGTGAGGCTGAACCAGCTGGAGGTGAAAGCACCAGGGCTGCAGAGCTCACTTCCCCAGTCCCCAGGCCACCAGCACACTCAGAGGTCACTGCAGCCACCCTGGCTCCCTGCTCTGCCACCACACCAGCTGCAGTTTGTCCCAGCTTCGAGGTGTGGAGCAGGCTCACACCCCAGGGCCATCCCTGCTCCCAGGATAAAGGAAATTCCAGAGGGGGCATCCACAACTCCAGCGTTTCATGGGAACTGAGGAATGCAGGCCGTGGTACCAAGGGAGCTTTTGCAGCTGGATAAATCCTTCCATGCAAAATAAATCCAAACTATAACTTAATAAAAGCAAAAAAAAAAAACAACCAAAACTTGGTTTGTAGCACAGGAAAAAGCCCCAAACCAGACTCCAGTGGCAACAAAGAAATTCACAGTCCACACAGGAAAATCCCTGAAATCAGCTCTGTCCCAGTGCTGTGAGCTGCCATCACACCCTCATTTTCTACACAAAAAAAAAGGAATGACTTCACTGGTGTGAAGTGCCTCCCCACACCTGCAAATAAAGCTCTGCTCCTTTCTCAGACAAAAAGAAATAAAACACAGCCCTGGTTTTGCACCAAGTGAAGGTGGGGAGGCCTGGGAGCCCCAGCTGCTCCCTGGCTCTTGACAAGGCAGTGTCCATGCAGTTGGCACTGAGTGTTTTCCAGTTTTTATCTTGCAAAAAGCAGAAGGGGATGCGTGGCAGAACTCTGTTCTTGGCTGCCTAAACTCTGTCCCAGCTTGGGAAATCCCTCCTGGGGCAGACCTGGCTCCTCCTGGACACCCCACAGGGGCCAAGGGCTCCCCAAGGCAGCCACTGGGACACAAAACCCGACAGGAATCCCTGTGGGACCTACTGGAAAACAGGGAAAAAAGAGGGGGAGCCCACCCAAACCCTGCTGTGGGGAGGGGTTTGTCAGCACAGGGCTAGAGCTGGGTGGGCACCAGTGCCACCAGTGAGTTCCCAGTGCCCCTGGGGGGATCCAGGTGTCCCTCACACAGGACATGGGACCAGAGGGGCTGTGGGGGCTGCAGCAGGACAGCAGGGCCAGGAGGACCCCCAGGAGTCCCAAAGCCACCACCCCAGCAGCCCTGGACTGCAGGGCAGCCAGGGGAGCCTGGTGCTCCGTGGGGCACAGCACCACAATCCCTGAGCATCCCTGGCCCCCTTCCACGGGGAGCTGGGTGGGCACCAGTGCCACCAGTGCCACCAGTCAGTTCCCAGTGCCCCTGGGGGAATCCAGGTGTCCCTCACACAGGACACGGGGCCAGAGGGGCTGTGGGGGCTGCAGCAGGACAGCAGGGCCAGGAGGACCCCCAGGAGTCCCAAAGCCACCACCCCAGCAGCCCTGGACTGCAGGGCAGCCAGGGGAGCCTGGTGCTCCGTGGGGCACAGCACCACAATCCCTGAGCATCCCTGGCCCCCTTCCACGGCAGCCCCCCAAAGTGGGACTGTCCCCTGCTCCAAGGCACGTCCTGACCCTCTGCCACCATCCCAGCACGAGGGGGGTCCCAGAGCCTCCAAAGGGGTCCCAGAGGGGAGCAGAGCAGAGCACAGCAGCCTCACACAAGCAGCTTGCAGAGGAAACCCAGCCTGGCTGGAGCCAACCCGGGCTGGGCCCGGCCAGGAGGGAGCCCTGGCACCACGGGGGTGTCACTTCTTCTCCAGGAAGGGCCCGAAGAGCCCCCAGTCAAAGGCCAGCATGGCCTGGGGGTTGGGCCTCTCCTTGGGCTTCTTGAAGTTGTCCCTGTGGGAGCGCAGAGCCCTCAGCACCTCCACGGGCTCTGTCCTGCCCGTGAACCTCTGCACGGCCTCCTCCCTGCAAGGGGACAGCCTGCTGAGCCCGGGGACAGCAGGGGACAGCAGGGCACCCCACCCTGCTCTGGGGTCACCCCGTGTCCGGGCAGCCTCCCCTCAGCCTGGCTGGGATTTCCCAGCAGGGTTTGGGATCGGGGATGGTGCAGGAGAGGAGGAGGAGGGGGTTTGGGAACAGGGATGGTGCAGGAGAGGAGGAGGAGGGGGATTGGGAACAGGGATGGTGCAGGAGAGGAGGAGGAGGGGGATTGGGAACAGGGATGGTGCAGGAGAGGAGGAGGAGGGGGTTTGGGAACAGTGAACCTCTGCACGGCCTCCTCCCTGCAAGGGGACAGCCTGCTGAGCCCGGGGACAGCAGGGGACAGCAGGGCACCCCACCCTGCTCTGGGGTCACCCCGTGTCCGGGCAGCCTCCCCTCAGCCTGGCTGGGATTTCCCAGCAGGGTTTGGGAACGGGGATGGTGCAGGAGAGGAAGAGGAGCGGGTTTGGGAACAGGGATGGTGCAGGAGAGGAAGAGGAGGGGGATTGGGAACGGGGATGGTGCAGGAGAGGAAGAGGAGCGGGTTTTGGGGCAGGATCCCAGCAGTGCTTACGTGACCCGCAGGAAGGGGTTGTACAGGAACTCCTCCTGCAGCGTGGAGGGCACCGTGGGCAGGTCCTCGTCATCCCTCTGCTGCCAGGGCACAGAGGTGTCCAAACCCACTGCCATCCCTCACCCTGCTCCCCACCTGGCACAGGGGGCACTGCCACTTACCTTGGCCCACGCCAGCTTCTCCTTCACCACTTCATTCTCTGGCTCCACCTTCAAGGCGAATTTGAGGTTCCTGACGGTGTATTCGTGGCCACAGAAAACCTTCTGCAGGAGGCAGCTGGCGTCAGACCCGCTGCCAGGGCAAGGCCCAGGCTGGAACCCCTGCCCTGAGCCCCCTCCCGGCCCCGGGAGCCCCCAGGGAGGGGAGGGCACTCACCGTGTCCATGGGCAGAGCCCCCAGGATCTGGGTGAGGTTGGTGTGCTGGGATGGGAACGGGACCGGGATGGGAACGGGAACGGGACTGGGAATGGGAATGGGAACGGGAACGGGGCTGGGAACGGGAATGGGACTGGGATTGGGAACGGGATTGGGACTGGAATGGGATTGAGAATGGGAATGGGACTGGGAATGGCAATGGGAACGGGAATGGGAACGGGACTGGGAACGGGAACGGGAATGGGATTGAGAGTGGGAACGGGAATGGGATTGGGACTGGGAACGGGAGTGGGAATGGGAATAGGATTAGGAATGGGACTGGGATTGGGACTGGGAACGAGACTGGGAATGGGAATAGGATTAGGAATGGGACTGGGATTGGGACTGGGAACGGGACTGGGAATGGGAACAGGATTAGGAATGGGACTGGGAACGGGACTGGGACTGGTGTTGGGAATGGGACTGGGAATGGGATCAGGACTGGGATTGAGACTGGGAATGGGATTGGGATCGGGAATGGGATTGGGACAGGAATTGGGACTGGGATTGGAATTGGGATTGGGCACCGTGCCCATGGGGACACAGCCACACCTACCAGTGGTGGTGGGTGGTGAGGATGGCCTTGAGCACCACGTCCTCCTTCCTGATGATCTCCAGCAGCTGAAAAGGACAGGGCAGAGTGGGAGGGCAGGGGAGGTGACACACACCCACACAGTGACATGTCCCCTGTGCCAGCAGCCAGGGGAACCCCCAAAATCCCCCAGAATCACACCCTGAGGAGCCACGGGCTGAGGGTGGGACACAGGCGTGACCCTGCCCGGGGCAGGGCGATGGCACCGCGCTCATTCCACGGCCACGGGGACATTCCTGGCCGGTGTTAAGGCACAGAGGGGAGCGCGGTGCCACCGCCACGCCAGGGACACCGTGCCACCCAGCCCGGCCACTCTCGGCGAGGCCAGCGGGCAGCGCCAGCCCCGGCCCGGCTCCCGGGGGCTCCGGATGCCGGGGGAACACCGGGGCTGCGGGAGGAAGGAAATGCCAGCACCAAACGCTGGAAACCCGCGACAGCGGAGGGCTGGCACCGGGACACCGGGCACGGCGACACGGGGGCAGGGAAGGGGCTGGCCGTGCATCCGCAGCGCTGGGTTTGGGGTGACCCCGCAGGGCTCGGGCATCCAGGGAAAGGCTCCCAGCCCCCAGCCCGGCACGGAGGGCTCCGTCCTGCCCGGGGATGCCCCGCCGAGGGGACAGCGCCACCGCCACCCCCCGCTCACCCTCTTGGGGACCGCGGCGTCCACGGCCACGGCGAGCCGGGTGCTCTCCTCGATCACCAGGTACATGTAGTTGTCCTCCAGCACGGAGATCACCTTCACCTTCATGGCCCGGGGCTGCGGGGCCCCGGCGCGGCCCCAGCGCCGCCACCGGGGCGGTGCCGCCGTGTGCGGGGCGGGACACGCAGCGCGGGGCGGGCGGAGCGCGCACGGCCCCGGCACGGCGGCAGGGCACAGCGACGGGACAGCGACGGGACAGCGAGGGGACAGCGACGGGACAGCGACGGGGGACAGCGAGGGGACAGCGAGGGGACAGCGACGGGACAGCGACGGGGACAGCGACGGGGACAGCGAGGGGACAGCGACAGGGGACAGCCCCGGGCTGCGGGGAGCAGGGGCACCCCCGGCCCTGCCCCCAAAATCAGCCCCGGGCCAGCGGGGGACGAGGAGATGCTGGCACTGGTGGCGCTGGTGGCACTGGTTGGTGGCGCTGGTGGCACTGGAGGGCAGCAGCAGCGCGGGGAGAAGGTGCAGAGCGGTGCCGGACACCGGAATTCGTGCTCCACCCACCCCGAGGGCAGGGAACCCAAAGGCACAGGGAGCTGAGCCGAGCCGAGCCGAGCTTCCCCAGCCGACACCAGCGCTGGGGCAGGGCTCACCATGGCCCCCACATGGAATTGGTGAGGTTGGAAAAGTCATCTGAGATGGGATCCAACCATTCCACCCAAAATCAAAGCCAGCACTGTCCCCTGTCCCCAAGTGCCACATGCCCAGGGCTGTTAAACCCCTCAGGGATGGGGACTCCACCCTGCCCTGGGCAGCTGGGCCAGGGCTGGGCAGCCCCTCCAGGAGGAAATTCTCCCAAAACCCCCCCTGAGCTGCCCTGGCCCAGCCTGAGGCCGTTCCCTCTCCTCCTGTCCCTGTTCCCTGGGATAAGATCCCAAATCCCCCCGGCTGTCCCCTCCTGGCAGGAGCTGTGCAGAGACTGAAATTGCCCCTGATCCCCCTTTTCTCCAGGCTGAGCCCCTCCCCAGCTCCCTCAGGGATTCTCCAGCCCTTTCCCAGCTCCCTCAGCCCCTCCTGGGGCTCCAGCCCTGTTCCCCTCCATGTCCCTCTTGTCCTTGCCCAAATGCCACTTGTGAGGAGGGATGGCACTCACAGGCAGCAAAACCAGAGCTGAACCCTCCCCGTTCCCCTTTCACAAAAACACAGCTGCCATTAAAGCCTGGGGACCCCACAATGCCACCCACCCAGCCCAGGATCAGGTAGAATGACACTTCCATTTGATTCCCTTCAATCTCCACTCCAAACCCAAGAAATCATTAAATCGGAGTTAACGACCTCTGCTTTCAGCTGTTTTTATTTCCCCTCTGCCCAGCCTCAGGACAGTCACACTCAGGAGTGGCAGCACAGCGTGCCAGGAGACACCACAGCTTCAGGCACCACTTTTCTCTCTGAACTACACAAAATTCAGCATTTTAAAGCAAATGGAGACCCGGTGCCACCCACATCCCTGCTCACCTGGGGACAGGTAACAGCTGCTCAGCTGCTGTCACTGCCAGGCCCCAGCCTGCTGCAGGGGTGTCACCACAGCCCAGGGGACAGCCACTCACCAGGAGTGGCAGGTCCTGCATTCTGAGCCAGCAGCCAGAGCCCTGGCACAGTCACACACAGGGCACAGGGGAGAGCAGGCAGCAGGTTCATGCAACAGCCTGGGGACCCACAGGGGGCAAGCACAGCAAAGCCTGGGGACAAGAGAGCAGCTGGGTGGCCCCAGAGCCACCCCAGAGCCAGAGCAGCCCGTGGAGCTCCCAGGTGACACCTGAGGCAGCACTGGCACTGCAGGTCTGGCCCTGGAGCTGGTTTAGTGGAGCAGGAGGACACTCAGAAGGTTGAAGAAGCAGCAAGGAGGAAACATTGGAATCTTCAGCTCTTGTGTTTGGTCTCTGCTTCACACAAAGATCTCAGTCCCAGAAAGGACAGGAGCTTCTTCCCAACCTCCAGGTTTGACCCTCCCAGTCTCACACCAGCACTTGCACAATGATCTGCAGGTGACACGTGACAGCTTGAGAGAGCAAGAGGAGGATAAATAATCTTCATCATAATATAAATATGCTGTAGAACATCTCAACAAGGGCAAAGTGCTTTTTTTTTCTTAATTAAAACAAAAAAAACCTAAAGAAAACCTGTCTCAACCACGACAGAAGATTTGACTCCTAAAACATCTGGAAGGTCTAAGTGACACTTGAAGTGGCAGTAAAGTGATGACTGAAGGGATGCAGGCAGGGCTCAGTCCTTGGGCACTCTGAAGTTGTCCTTCTCTTTCCTGATGGCCCCCATGACCCGCACAGGGTCGCTCTCCCCAGCGTGCTCCTGCACTGACTTCTCCCTGCCAGGAGGGAAGGGCAGGCTCAGGATGGAGCCCCAGCTCTGCAGGCACCAGGGTCAGGCTTCAAGGCTGGTTCAGCACCAGAGACTGGGCTCTGGCACAGCTCTCAGCCTGGCTCCAAGGCTCAGGAGGAAATGGCACTTTTGTGCCCCAGCAGAACCTGCTGGATGAGGGAACAGGACACACCAAAGGCTGTTCTGCCTCCTGAGTCAGGGAATGGTGCTCAGCAGCACCCCCAGATCCAGGACCCTTCTGCCAGGACAGCCAGTGAGAGCCTTGGAGGCCCTGGGACAGCTCTCCCTCCCACAGCCCCAGCAGCAGCCCCTACCTCACTCTCATGAAGGGGTTGTAGGTGAACTCCTCGGCGATGGTGGAGGGGATGGTGGGCTCTCCACTGTCGTACTGGGCCTGCAATGGGGGACACAGGGCTGCTCCACCAGGAATTCAGGGGAGCAGGGAGAGTCCTGGACACAACAGGAGTTTCCAGGCAGGGAACTTCTCCCCCAGGCAGCAAACTGTGGGCACAGCCAAACCCTGCTGCCCTGCAGCACAGCATCCTGCAGCTCCTGGCTCCTAACGCCCCATTCTCCCCAGCACTGTCCCCTCTCCTCCAGCTCCTCAGCAAGGCCCTGTGTGCAGGGAAGGAAGAGCAGCTCACCTTGGCCCAGGCCAGCTTCTCCTGGATGCTGGGGTTGCTGGGTTCCACGTGCCGAGCAAACTTGAGGTTGTTGATGGTGTACTCGTGGCCACAGTAAACCCTCTGGGAACAGGAAGGGACAGTGACACTGGGCACTGCAAAGCCACCAAGGGGGACTGCCAGGAACAACACACTCAACCCAACACCCCCACTGGGGACAGGCACAAGTGCCAGGACGAGCTTCCAGCTGAACAGGTGAGGGAGCCCCAAGTCCAGCTCAGCAGCCTTTAACAACCAGCCCTGCTCCTTCCCCACAAAGCACAGACACACTTGGGGCAGGTCAGTCCTTTCCAGGGCACTGCAGCTCTCCAGCCCCCCAGAATTCCTGCAGGCATCCATCCCCTGCACACAGCAGTCTCTCTGCACAGCCTCAGGGTGTTTCTCTGCTTTGTGTGCTGCTTTGGGCTGGCTCACTCACACCAAAGGAGAGGTTTGTACCGTTCTGGGGTCCAGGCTGCCCAAAATCTCAATCAGTGCCTTGTACATCTCCTCCGGGGTGCCCTCGAAGAACTTCCCACAGCCAGCCACGAACAGGGTGTCACCTGCAGGGGTGGCATGGCATCAGGGCCACAGCAGGCTGAGGGCTCAGCCCTGGCACTGCTGCCCCAGCGCTGAGCACGGGGACAGCCAGGCTGTGCCACTGCGTGCCACACCAACGCTGGGGGCAGGGAGCATCACCAGGCACCTCCTGCCAGCACCTCCTGCCTGGGGGCAGCCCCTGTCCCCTGCTGTCCCTCCTGCAGGGGACAAGGAAAGCTTGTTCTTTGCTGTGAAACTGAACAAAGATGAGTCGCCTCTATTTTCTCCCCAGTGCTCCTTGAAATCATGTTTAAGGCTCTTTCTCTTCCATGCAGGAGGTTCTGTGGGCTCTGGAGAACACAGGGATGAAGCACAGCCCCAGGGAAGGGGAATCCTTCTCCCCAAGCCAGGATCCAGGCCCTGGCCACCAGCATGGAGCACAGCCCTCTCTGATCCCCTATTCTCTCCTCTCTCTGCTGTCAGACATGAGCACAGATATATGGAAAAGCAACAGGGTTTGGGATCAGCCAGTTTGGCCTGAGACAGGAAACCAACAGCTCTTTTTTCACAAAAAAAAAAAAAGCTGGATGTAGGACTCATCCAGGGCTCGCTCCTGATGCCTGCAGGGTGTGCAGCCCTGGCTTACACATCCACAGGGGCTTCCCCAGCTCCACCTACAGCTCCTGCTTGGGAAGGGGAGCAAGGCGTGCATGTTCAGCAGCTGCCCTGGCAGGAAGGGAGGGAGGCACATCCAGAGCAACAGGCACCCAGGCAGAGAGGGGCAGCTTCTGTTTTTGCAAGGGAACCTCCCAACTCCTCACCTGTAAAAACTGCAGGTGGCTCGGAGCTATTTGGCTTAGTCACATAATAACAGATGTGGCCCGAGGTGTGACACGGCGTACTGAGGCATTTCACACTTAGAGATCCCACCTGGGAAGAAGGCAGAACACTAAAGCTGAAGCTGCAATGGCATGGTTAGAAAAGAATTGCTACTCTTAGTGCTCTAATGGCCCTAAACTTGCCCCAGTGTGGTCGGGAAGCAGCAGCTCTGCTCCTGGGAGAGCCCAGGAGGGAGGGCTGCCAGGGAGCTGCTCCTCCAAGCAGGTGTCCTGACAAAGGGAACTGCCAGATCCTTCCATTTCCATGCTCAGGGACTCAAAGCCTGGCTGGCAGCAAGAGCCAACAGAGAATCCTAAACAAAGCTGATGGAGCGTGAAAAAAGCTCCAAACAGAAATGGAGCTGAAGGGGAGAAGTGGATGGCACTGAGGGAAAGGCAAGGAATCAACACAGCCTCATCTGCCCACCTTCCTGTGCTGCCCCTCCCGGGCTGCACCCCGGGCCAGCAGTGCCCTTCACGCCTGCCTGTTCCTGTCCCAGCAGTGCTGTCACCTGCCAGCTGTGCTGCAAGCAGGGCACAGCCAGGCAGCAGCTGGCACTGCTGTGCTCACCCCACCTTCCAGCTGGCACCCCCAGGAACACCTGGGTCTGCTCTCCTGGATGTCACTGTGCTCCTGGCAGAGCACAATCCCTGCCCTGTCACACTGTCCCTGTCTGTCACACTGTCCCTGTCACACTGTCCCTGCTCTGTCACACAATCCCTGGCCCTGTCACACTGTCCCTGCTCTGTCACGCAATCCCTGGCCCTGTCACACCGTCCCTGTTACACTGTCTCTGTTCTGTCACACAGTCCCTGCCCTGTCACAAAATCCCTGGCCCTGTCACACTGTCCCTCCTGTCACACTGTTCCTGTCCTGTCACACAATCCCTGCCCTGTGACACTGTCTCTGTCCTGTCACACAGCTCCTGTCACACAGTTCCTGCCCTGTCACACTGTCCCTGGCCCTGTCACACTGTCCCTGTCCTGTCACACAGCCCCTCCTGTCACACTGCCCCTCCTGTCACACTGTCCCTGGCCCTGTCACACTGTCCCTGTTACACTGTCTCTGTCTTGTCACACTGTCCCTGCCCTGTCACAAAATCCCTGCCCTGTGACACTGTCTCTGTCCTGTCACACAGCTCCTGTCACACAGTTCCTGCCCTGTCACACTGTCCCTGGCCCTGTCACACTGTCCCTGTCCTGTCACACAGCCCCTCCTGTCACACTGCCCCTCCTGTCACACTGTCCCTGGCCCTGTCACACTGTCCCTGTCACACTGTCCCTGCCCTGTCACACTGTCCCTGTCCTGTTACACTGTCCCTGTCACCCTGTCCCTGCCCTGTGACACTGTCCCTGCCCTGTCA